TTGTACTGCAAGTTTATCTTCCAGCTGCAAGACGCTACTGGCGATGGTGCCATTGACAGTGATGAGTACATACCGGTTTGTGTTTCGTTCGGCAGAAGCGAAGAGGAGGGGGTGACCGCTTTTAAAAAGATGTCGAAAGGCAAGTCGACTGTCTCTTGGTCGGAATTCCAAGAGCTATGGAGGGAGTTTTTTGCAACAGAAGATCCTAACGCACCCGGGAATTTTATATTTGGAACAAACACCTTTTAATATACAGGTCTATGTAGTTCAGTGGAAGTAGACCTTTCGTCTACTTTTGTCTACAAGTGGAATGAAATACTGTAATTATGAAAATATCTTTATTTATTAGTGTGAATGAAAACGTGGGTTATTAAAATTAATTGATTATTGAAAGAATTATATGGTTGATTTCAAACTTTCCTGGTTTTTATTAATACAAACAGCTTAATCGTGGTAGGAATTTTAAAAATTTAAGTCAGATAAGAGATTTTATTAAATGCAAACTTTCTTCAACTACCTTCCATTCCATTCCACCTAGCTTACTACCATATGCAGTATGCGTTGGATATGCTCATAGCATAACGGTTGTAGTAAGGAACATTCAATAACGTGGTCGCAGATTCGAATCCTGCTATTCTATTTTTTACATGGACCAATATTATCTCTAAATAACGTCCTAATATAAACAAAATAATATGATTTTTATGCTTGTCTGAAACAGATACTAACATTAATAAGAACAATTAACTTATCACTTAGCATGTAACAATCTGAAAGAAATACTTATACATGTCATACTTTCGCAGATATCATCGTTTCCTTCAACAACATAGTTTTGTCACTGTTTCAGTATTATACCTACAATAATATACTTGTTAAAACTATTAATGTGCGCACACCTTTCACTAAACTATCGCACAAGTGTTTGGACTTCCTTTCATTCATATGAGCTTATGGAGGTGCGCACACTACTCGATGTTTAGTCGTGCAACTAAACAGTTGAATATACTGCGAATGAATTCATAATCTCTGATTATCTCATAAAAAACAAAACTCTTAATCATTTTTATGCCGATAAATATTGTAATCGAGCCGTACTTTTCTCTAGATCTGTCGCGATTGACTACCGTTAGTGACTCACTCACTGCTAAATCACACACCTGTAATATTGTAAATCAATGTTTTCACGTACATCATGAGTTGACATTATATTTTAATCATGATGATATCGAAATACAGTTATCGAGATGCATCAAGAATTGATCAAAACAACTGACTAATCATACTTAATATTATAACTAAATGCGAAAGTTTAGATGGATCGATGTTTGTTAGAGTTTGTAGCCTAAACGGTTTAACGGTTTTCTATGAAATTTGGTATAAATATAGAGGAAATTGTGGAAGAACACATTGGTTACTTACTTTTGTTTTGTTTAATTCCAAGCGGACGTAGTCGCGGGTGAAAGCTAGTGAATTATATTAGAACTTTTATATCTAATCGACTTGAAGTTATAATCATTACTATAAACTCAACACTAATAAAATTGACTTGTTAGTCAATATTACAAAAGTCGTCCCTTTTCATTTGATTCGATTTTTTTGATTCAGATCTTTTTCTCTCTTTTCTTCTTATAAATTCAGCATTCTTTTTGTTATTCCTTCAAGGATGTGATCATTGTTTTTGTTTTTCTGTGAATCATTGCTAAATTAACAACGCAACGCAACCATATGTTTATTTTTAAATAAGTCGTAATAATTGTTTTGATGTTCAAATATATTATGAAATGATAAGTCTATCATATTTAAGTTTTTAATTCGATTCTACTACTTCACATCACTATGACATTTATAAAATAATCTATACATCAAGGGTAATTATGGGCTAATCCCTCTGGTATATAAGCAGCGACGATCGAACACATTAGTAAACGTAAATCAGATTCTATACAAAATGGTGTCCGACTTCAGAAGGAAGAAGTTAGTGCATATGTACAAGTTCTTGGACAAGGACGGCAGCGGTTCCATCGACAAGAAGGACTTCCAGTTAGCTGCTGAAAACGCAGTGAAACAGCGCGGATGGAAGGAAGGCGACGCTTCGTACAAGGAATGCTTTGATACCATCGACATGGTGTGGAATGCGTTGCAAAAGGTAGGAGATGCTAACAATGACGGTGAAGTGAGCGCCGATGAATGGGTCACGATGTGGGACACCATCAGCAAGAGTGAAGCGGACCGCGAGTGGCTAGGCCAATACTGCAAGTTCGTCTTCAAAATGCAGGATTTCAATAACGACGGTTTCATCGACAGTGATGATTATGTATCCGCCGGTGCGATAGCAGGCACGAGCAAGGAAGAAGCTGTGGCCGCATTCGAGAAGCTGTCACAAGGCAAATCTAAGATCACCTTAACAGACTTCCAAAAGTTATGGGACGAGTTTTTCTTAAGTGAAGATCCTAATGCACCAGGAAACTTCATTGCTGGAAAATCTAGTTTTGATTAGTAGTTAAGTATTATTTGTATCATAGTAGTTCATAATTTTATGTATGAAAAAAAAATCGTTATTAAATAAAACTGAAAAAATACAAAGAGGCCGTTTAATTAAAAATTACCCCTTAGAAAATAGTGTTATTAAAAGTTTTTGAAAAAATTTAAAAGTTGTATCTTAACTGTCGAGAACAGTGATTACTGTGTCGGTACAATTATATCCACGTCAATTAGTTTTCGGTAAATAACGGTTCAAAAATGTTTTTTCGCATAGGAAATTACAATTGTTGTAGTAGTGAGATCGTTAAATAATAAGCCATCGCAATCGTTATCTTTCAATTTAGGTTTTCAATTCTGTAAATAACACGTGCAACATTTTGGTTTATCACAATGACATTAAAAATATTATCTAAGATGTTCGGGTAACTAATCGACACAGTATATAAAAGACGACGCCTGAACATTCCGCGTTACGTACAAACAAATAACACATACAAAATGGTGTCCGACTTCAGAAGGAAAAAGTTGATGTTCATGTTCAAATTCTTGGACAAGGACGGCAGCGGCACCATCGAAAAGAAGGACTTCTTACTGGCAGCGGAACACGCGGCGAAACAGAGAGGATGGGCCGAAGGGTCTGACTTGTATAAAGAATGCTTTGACACCGTCGAGATGGTATGGGATGCCTTGGAAAAGGTAGGAGACGCGAACAGCGATGGTCAAGTGAGTGCAGATGAATGGGTCACAATGTGGGACACGATCAGCAAGAGCGCTGCTGACCGCGACTGGTTGAACAAGTACTGCAAATTCGTCTTCAAAATGCAGGACTTGAACGGTGATGGCTTCATCGACAGTGATGACTTTGTAGCTGCGAGCACAAAATCCGGTAACACTAAGGAGAATGCTTTGGAAGCGTTCCAGAAACTATCGCAAGGTAAATCACAGATCACGTTGACGGACTTCCAAAAATTGTGGGACGAGTATTTTATCACTGAAGATCCAAATGCACCAGGAAACTTCATCAGCGGCAGGCCTAGCTTTGATTAGTGATGGGTTTTTCTAGATTTATTTTGGTATTATTAATTTACGAAAATATTTATTATGTGATATGGCCCGTGTAATTTAAAATTGCATTGAAATGTTAGTCATTGTTAGTGTGTTTGTAAATAGAAATGTTTTTATTAAAACTTTTGAAAATTGAAAAGGATTTTAATTTTTACCATACCTCCTCCTTTACAAGTAGAAATTCATTTGAATAATAACCTCAATAAACTATCTCAGATATGAAACTTTTTTTTCAATGAAAATATAGACATAAAATCAGATAATCTCTCATTATTAAAGTAAACTGCAATATAAAGATAATGCAAAATGTATTACATCAAAAACTGAAATACAAACTTTGCACCGCATTATAGCTAGAGCCGCTACAGTTTTGTTACAGTTAACTTAGATACTAGAGACAATTATTTGTCTAGGCACTAAGATAAGATATGTCTGTTAAAAATATTGAATTAACTTATTAATAAAAAGTCACTGCTTACGCAGTCCTAAACAGCCTAACGCAACCTTTATTAAAATGGATTAATTATGATATTCCAAAAATAGTAGAGAAAGTTTGTACGCAAAAAAAATTAATTGAAATTAAACGATTCTCGTTTCCAATGGAGGTTTTTGTTTGCAGTACTATGACATTATTTTTGTATTATTTTAACGCAAAATTTTAAAATCAATGTGAATTTCGCAAAACTGATTAAACTGATTTTGGCTGGTATTAGACTATTTGTTATTTCTTCAAACTAGAAACTCGCTACAGCTATTTTTTTAGCTTATAACATTATTTTGAAAAAATATAATTCTGAAAATTTGTAAACATAAAATAACATTTTTTTTTAAATATATTAACAATATATTAAAGTGCCATCTATTTGTGACATATGAAATCTCTATATCGTTACCGATTTATCGTTTAATGATAAAATACTTGCTACTTACTACTCTAAAAAGTCACAAGATGTCACTATTCCAAGTTAAAGTCTTTTGTATTTTTTTAAAACTCCCATTATGTCTGGTACTATTTAAGACCCAACACAATAATGAAATAGGCAATATATAACACACCTTTTCTATTTGAGACGATTTCTTAAAAGTCTGACAAAAAAAGTTTGTAAATTCCGTCCCACGGTTTTAAACCATGTTTGCACTATTATCTCGATTAAGTATGCTTTCTTAATGTACATCGTTTCTGGGAAATGTGTCTTATAGTTATTCATAAATTTCGGTTTCGTTCAATACAGATTAGATTGCGAAGTGATAAGTCAAAGTAATCGCTATCGTTCGACTTAAACTAATAATCACATGTAATTAAGAACAAATCTACTCACTATATAAAAGGCTGAACATTTGGACAAACATACATACAAATATTCGCAAAATGGTGTCTGACTTCAGAAGGATAAAGTTAATGTACATGTTCAAAGTATTGGACAAAGATGGCAATGGGACTATAGAAAAGAAGGATTTTGAAATGGCGTGTTGCTTTGTAGTATGTCGAGCACATTCGAAACATCGAGAACTGAAACAAGGCGATGTAGCTGATGAATGCTTTGACATGGTGTGGGATGCCTTACAAAAGGTAGGAGACGCGAACAGCGACGGTCAAGTAAATGCGGAGGAGTGGGTCGCAATGTGGGACACAGTGAGTAAGAGTGCAGCGGACCAAGACTGGTTAAATAAATACTGCAAGTTCGTATTCAAAATGCAGGACATCAACGGTGATGGTTACATCGATAGCGATGACTTTGTAGCTGCCAGCGTAAAATGCTTTCCGGAAACTTTCTCAAGGCAAGCCAAATATCTCTCTGACTGAATTCCACGAACTGTGGTATGATTTTTTTATATCAGAAGACCCCAATGCACCAGGAAATTTCATCATCGGTAGACCTAGCTTTGATTATTAACGGAGTTATTATTATTTCTTCGGTAACTTCTGGGTGTTTCTTTTTTGTTACTTTGTGGGTAATTGATTTTGTAAGGAGGAGCTTAATATTTTAATATACATTTGATACTATTACTACTAACTATTAAATCTTTTCAGATCTTCTATGTTTTAATACAAGCTTGTATCATTCTTGTAAAATGTCTATCAAACCGCATTTCATATAAAAATATTCAAATATTACTATTGATATAAAATCTATACTATTTCGGGTTGGTAACAGCTACGGACACGTCAATGGCACGTGATGCCGCGGCGCCGTACTAGTGCTCCATCGACCAATAATATCTTATCTCCCATAATTTAAAAATGAATTTGAAATGCATATTCTTTAGTACTTTTTAACTGAATATTATGAAACAAAATGTTTTCTATTAATACCTTTGTCATCGCAAGTGAGACGTTTGTGGTCTCGTTAGTAACGATTACGATAATCAAGTCATACTTTTACACAGATATTGAAATGGCCGATTAAGAAACGAGTAATTTGTATACCATCTTTATCTGATTTAATATTATATCATATTTTGTACAACTAAACAGTCATTACTTGCTAATCGTGAATGTTTAGTGTATAAAATGGTGTCAGAATTTAGAAAACAGAAACTTTTGCATCTTTTTAACATTTTCTTTGACACCGATTCAAGTGGAAGCATCGAGAGGAATGATTTCGAATTAGCTGCTGAGAATATCGCCAAGTTACGAGGATGGAAACCTAATGATGATCAATATAAAGAAACTTTGGAGTCTCTGATCAAAATATGGGAAGGTTTACAAAATGCCGCTGATTCTGATAATGATGGAAAAGTAACTGCAGATGAATGGGTGAATATGTGGGAGACTTATGCAAGGAATCCTAGTTCTGGTGCGAATTGGCAGCAGGTATACTGCAAGTTCATGTTTCAACTGGAAGACGCGGGAGGTGACGGGGCTATAGATTGTGAAGAATTTTCAGCTGTCTTTGAATCGTTTGGTCTCCTCAAAGAAGATAGTGTGGCCGCTTTTAATGTTATATCGAAAGGTAAACAAAAAGTTACTTGGCAAGAGTTTCAAGAATTATGGATACAATATTTCGCTTCTGATAATCCCAACGATCCTGGTAATTTTATATTTGGTGCAGCTACGTTTTAAATAGTGAAGTATAACTGTTAAGTATGAAAAGGTTTTTTTTTTGTTCACTTGTCATATGCAGTTCAAATATTATTTTTATGTAATTTTACTATTAAAGTCGAGTTAAGTGAGGTGTTATGTAAATTATAAAATTTAACGGGCAATTCTATTTGTTTTAACCGTTTAAATATTTCATATTTTAGTTTATTAAAATTTGAAATTATCAGTATGAATAATTATTAGTTTCCGTATCGCGTCACGTACTGATAATTTTAAAAATACACGATAAAGTATTGAAGTAATTGTCACTAATATATAATATCTATAACAAGCATTATAATGAAGTTTGTGATAAAATGCATGCAACCTCAAATGTGAAGATTTCATTAAAAAATCCATGTTTTATGAAATGTTTTATTCCAAACAAAAGAACAGCTTCGCTTCCTATTTTTAAAATATTGATCTTGTAATAATAATAAATAAGATGTCAGAATTAGTGCAGTTCCATCCGGCATATCGTGTGCTCGGCGCTGCAATGCAGCTTGTTGCTACAAGTAACGTAATTGCGAACATGCGCGGTGCCGGGACGGAACCTCGCCACTGCACAGGTACTCGCCATCTATCGCCTACAAACTAACAAATATCAACACCTAACTTTAGGTATTAACATTTGCTAATTACCCTTAAGAGCGCGCGCACACCTTTCGCACAACTGTTTGAGCTTTAAATCCTATAAGCTTATATGGAGGTCTACACTACTCCATTTTTAGTTGCGCAACTAAACAGTTGAATTGGCTGCGAAACAATCGACAATCGCATAACAGTTGTGCGATAGTCTAGTCAAGGGTGTAATTTTGTAATTTATTTTATCGTATGTTTCTTTCTGCCTATTATCTTGTCAACTTATTGCTCATTTAAGTATAGTTATTGTAAGTTTCAAGCTATGACATTCCAATGACATTTAGTGCAGTAGATGCGGATTATTTTCACATGCATTTTGTACGGAATAGTACGTTTGTGCTCCTTGTTAGCACATAACTGTTATTGTTATGTTTATTGTTAGCGACGAAAGTGTATGATTTTAAAATCTAAATTAAAAAAATACTAATTTCACATTTTAAGCAAGGAAGTTAAGATAAGCAATAACATATAAATACTTACATTATAAAGAGGAAAGATTTGTATTTTTGTATGTATAGTGATAACTCAAAAATTACTAGGACATTTTCAAAAATTCTTTCATCATTAAAAAGCTACATTATTAGCGAGTAACATAGGTTTTTTTATTACTTTTAACTTCACGCGGGCGAAGTCTCGAGCAACAGCTAGTATCAAATAAATCAAAATGCCCTTCATGAAAGGGACTGAATTCTCTTTTTAAAACCCAAACGAGAACATAAATGGAAAACATTTCAACATTGTTTTCACCCAGTAAATGTAAACTGCGTAAAATCTGCGAAACAAAAGAGGTCAAGACAGATTCTCGTTAAGATTATAACTGTGGGTTGTAAAAAAATGTTTTGGGTCCGAATGTACACGAGCGGCGTACGAGTGGACACTTTTGTTGGACTATAGAGTGCTAATTACCAAGTGAATTATTGCATCGAACCCGGGACCGGAACAGAGGGCAAGGCGCAAGTCACTGACTGCAGCGATACTATTTTTTTAATTATATGCGTAAGACAATATAACAATTGAATCGGCTGCGAAACAGTCGATCGAATCGAAAGCAGTTGTGCGATAGTTTGGTCCAAGGTGTGCGCTCGCTCTTAGACACTCAGAGTTGCAACAATAAAATGTAATAGTCAATCCAGTCCAGGAGTCCAGTAGGCAGTAGGCTCATCGCCTGTGCCGTTT